GGTGGAATTTCGTTGTTTTTTTTTTTTTTTTGGTTTTTTGAGACAGGGTCTCACTATGTAGGTCAGGCTGGCCTTGAACTTACTATGCAACATAGGCTGGCCTCGAACTCACGACAGTCCTCCTGCCTCAGCCTCCCAAGTATTGGGATTACAGACATGTGCCACTATGCCTGGCTATGTATCTGTTTTTATGCCAGCACCATGGTGTTTGGGTTACTACTATACCTTTGTATAATGGTATGTTGTGGTTTTTTCTTTGGTTCACAAAAATTTTAAAGTTTCCTTTTTGATTTCTTCACTGACATACTGGCTGTTCAAGATAATATTATTTTCCATGTAACTGTATAGTTTCTCAAGTTCCTTTTGTTGATTTTTAGTTCTATTCCTTTGTTGTTAGAGAAGATTCATGCCATATATTTGTCAGGTTTATATGACTGTAACAAAATATCTGATAATCAACTTAAAAAGAAGAAAGGTTTATCTTGGCTCAGTTTTCTAGGTTTCCATCCATGGTTGGTTGGTGCTGTTGCTTCTGGCAGTTCCTCCCATGAGAGCACATGGTGGAGGCAGCTCATGGCCAGGCTCCCCAACTCCCTTCAAGGGCCTGCACCACAGCAAGAAGATGGCCCATGAGGCCCTGTCTCCTGGGGGATCTACCACCTCCCAATAATGCTGTGGGCCAGAAACCGAGTGTTTCACACACAGGCCCTTGGGGGAACCTACTCAAGCCACAGCTTGCTATAGTTCAGTCTTGTTTTGAATTTGCTGGGGCTTATTTTATGGCCCAACACATGGTCTGTCATGCAGAATGTTCCGTATGCTGATGAGAAGAATGTGTATTCTGCAGCCATTGGATGAAATGTTCTATAAATGTCTGTTAGGTCCATTTGATCTAAATAATCATTTAACTGATTTTTTTGGTTGTTCATTTAAATTTTTTTTTTGGTCTGTATGGTCTGTCCATTGATGAAAGTGTTGAAGTTTTCAACTACTATTATATTAGTCTTTCTTTCCTTTTAGATCTAATATGTCTGTATTATATAATTTTTGTGTAGCAGCATTGGGTGCATACGTATTTCCAACTGTTATTTCCTATTGTTGAATTGATCCCTTTGCCATTATGTAGTGACCTTCTTTGAGTCTTTTATAGTTTCTTTTCGTTTTTTGATTTTTTGATTTTTTGAGACAAGGTCTCACTTTGTGGCTCAGGCTGGCCTTGAACTTGTTGCGATCCTCCTGCCTTAGCCTCCAAGTGCTGGAATTATAGGTTTGTGCACTACCATGCTGGGCTGTTTTGTTTGTTTTTGAGGGGTTGTCTTGCTGTGCTTCCCAGGCTGGCCTTGGGTTCCTAGGCTCAAACAGTTCTCATACCTCAGGTTCTCAGCAGCTGGAACTACAAGTGTGCTTCATTACACCTGGCTTCTTTACAGTTTTGGAATTAAGGTTTATCTTATTTTATCTGATATAAGTGTAGCTCCTCCTGTCCATTTTTTTTTTTTGGTACTGGGATCGAACTCTGGTCCTTGCACTTGCGGGGCAGGCAGTAAAACCACTGAGCCAAATCCCCGGCCCTCCTGTCCATTTTTGATTTCCATTTGCCTAGGACATGTGTTTCCATCCCTTTGCCTCCAGTCTATGTGTGTTTTTACTGGTGAAGTGACTTTCTTGTGAGCAGCTTGCATAAGTATGTATTCTTGTGGGCTGTGGTTTTCAAGTGTCATCTCAGTAGATCTTGACTTTTTCTCTAGCTCATAAATAAAATATGATTTAGATCTGTACATTCAGCAAAATTATAGTGGAAGTGCTGAGATCATCACTACAGCTGCCTCCTTTAGTTGCTCCTGTTTTTTTTTTTTGATATCAGGAATTGAACTCAGGACCTTGCGCTTGTGAGGCAGGCAGGTGATGGAACCCTGGCCCTTTTAGCTCAATGGTTCTGCTGCCTGCCTTGCAAGCGCAAGGACCAGGGTACGAACCCTGGTACCAAAAAAAAAAAAAAAAAAAAAAAAAAATCCCCGGCCCCTAGTTGCTCCTGTTCTTGAAAAATGCTCTTCCAAAGCCAGGTGTGATGCTGCATGGATGTAATTCTAGCATATAGGAAGCTGAGGCAGGAGAATCATCGTGAGTTTGAGGCCAGCCTGACCTACATAGTGAGATTTTGTCTTAAAAAAAAAAAAAGATAAAAGAGAGAGAGAGAAACAAAAGAAAAATGCCCTTCCAGCCTGGAGACTCTGGCATCTTGGAGACTTCCAGGCACCAGCTGTGGAGCAGCTGGCATTCTGTGAGTTTAAGAGGCAGTGGCAGCAGCTTGGGTATGCAAGGATTTTGCACCAGGTCCGACTGCTCACTGCATCATCTGTTTCCAATCATCCTCATACCCTTTTCCTTTCAGTTTTTCCATGCCCTTGTACTGTTTCCAGGCCCTGTTTTTGTGCAGAGAAGTGGCTGTCTTCTGTGGATCCACCTGAGGTTTGTATGTCCGTGTGTGAGGCTCAGACTCAGTTCTGTATACGAGATGTTTGTCATGCATGGAAGCTATAGATAGAGGCAGAAAGTACTGCTTTGTGTTGTAAGCAGAGGATTTTGCCCCAAGGTCTCGATATGATCTGTAATTTTCTTTGCATTACTTGTGGATGATCTGGTAGGTTGATCACAGGCAGAACTCATTTCAGGAGCTGTTAGTGTTGAGACCCCTGAAACATGAGTATAGCTGGGTGTGGTTCCGCATGCCTGTAACCCCAGCACTCGGGAGGCTGAGGCAGGAGGATTGCCATAAGTTCTAGGCCAGCCTGGGCTACATAGCAAGACCTCCCCCCCCAAAAAAAACCCCTCCAACCAACCAACCAAACAAAAACATGAGTATAGAGGCGCACATCTTGTGTACAGAAGGATCATTCCATCTAAGTGATATTTCTAA